CACAAGCAGACAGGCAGACACACAGAAAGAGACACACATACAAGCAGACAGGCAGACACACAGAAAGAGACACACACACAAGCAGACAGGCAGACACACAGAAAGAGACACACACACAAGCAGACAGGCAGACACACAGAAAGAGACACACACACAAGCAGACAGGCAGACACACAGAAAGAGGCACACACACAAGCAGACAGGCAGACACACAGAAAGAGACACACACACAAGCAGACAGGCAGACACACAGAAAGAGACACACACACAAGCAGACAGGCAGACACACAGAAAGAGACACACACACAAGCAGACAGGCAGACACACAGAAAGAGACACACACACAAGCAGACAGGCAGACACACAGAAAGAGACACACACACAAGCAGACAGGCAGACACACAGAAAGAGACACACATACAAGCAGACAGGCAGACACACAGAAAGAGACACACACACAAGCAGACAGGCAGACACACAGAAAGAGACACACACACAAGCAGACAGGCAGACACACAGAAAGAGACACACACACAAGCAAACAGGCAGACACACAGAAAGAGACACACACACAAGCAGACAGGCAGACACACAGAAAGAGACACACACAGAAGCAGACAGGCAGACACACAGAAAGAGACACACACACACAAGCAGACAGGCAGACACACAGAAAGAGACACACACACAAGCAGACACACAGAAAGAGACACACACATACAAGCAGACACACAGAAAGAGACACACACATACAAGCAGACACACAGAAAGAGACACACACATACAAGCAGACACACAGAGACACACACAGATACAAGCAGACACACAGAGACACACACAGATGCAAGCAGACACACAGAAAGAGACACACACATACAAGCAGACACACAGAAAGAGACACACACACACATACAAGCAGACACACAGAAAGAGAAACACACACAAGCAGACAGGCAGACACACAGAAAGAGACACACATACAAGCAGACAGGCAGACACACAGAAAGAGACACACACACAAGCAGACAGGCAGACACACAGAAAGAGACACACACACAAGCAGACAGGCAGACACACAGAAAGAGACACACACACAAGCAGACAGGCAGACACACAGAAAGAGACACACACACAAGCAGACAGGCAGACACACAGAAAGAGACACACACACAAGCAGACAGGCAGACACACAGAAAGAGACACACACACAAGCAGACAGGCAGACACACAGAAAGAGACACACACACAAGCAGACAGGCAGACACACAGAAAGAGACACACACACAAGCAGACAGGCAGACACACAGAAAGAGACACACATACAAGCAGACAGGCAGACACACAGAAAGAGACACACACACAAGCAGACAGGCAGACACACAGAAAGAGACACACACACAAGCAGAAAGGCAGACACACAGAAAGAGACACACACACAAGCAGACAGGCAGACACACAGAAAGAGACACACACACACAAGCAGACAGGCAGACACACAGAAAGAGACACACACACAAGCAGACAGGCAGACACACAGAAAGAGACACACACACAAGCAGACAGGCAGACACACAGAAAGAGACACACACACAAGCAGACAGGCAGACACACAGAAAGAGACACACGCACACACAAGCAGACAGGCAGACACACAGAAAGAGACACACACACACATACAAGCATGCACACAGAAAGAGACACACACACACACATACAAGCAGGCACACAGAAAGAGACACACAAACAAGCAGACAGGCAGACACACAGAAAGAGACACACACACAAGCAGACAGGCAGACACACAGAAAGAGACACACACACAAGCAGACACACAGAAAGAGACACACACATACAAGCAGACACACAGAAAGAGACACACACACACATACAAGCAGACACACAGAAAGAGACACACACACAAGCAGACAGGCAGACACACAGAAAGAGACACACATACAAGCAGACAGGCAGACACACAGAAAGAGACACACACACAAGCAGACAGGCAGACACACAGAAAGAGACACACATACAAGCAGACAGGCAGACACACAGAAAGAGACACACACACAAGCAGACAGGCAGACACACAGAAAGAGACACACACACAAGCAGACAGGCAGACACACAGAAAGAGACACACACACAAGCAGACAGGCAGACACACAGAAAGAGACACACACACAAGCAGACAGGCAGACACACAGAAAGAGACACACACACAAGCAGACAGGCAGACACACAGAAAGAGACACACACACAAGCAGACAGGCAGACACACAGAAAGAGACACACACACAAGCAGACAGGCAGACACACAGAAAGAGACACACACACAAGCAGACAGGCAGACACACAGAAAGAGACACACACACAAGCAGACAGGCAGACACACAGAAAGAGACACACACACAAGCAGACAGGCAGACACACAGAAAGAGACACACGCACACACAAGCAGACAGGCAGACACACAGAAAGAGACACACACCCACATACAAGCATGCACACAGAAAGAGACACACAAACAAGCAGACAGGCAGACACACAGAAAGAGACACACACACAAGCAGACAGGCAGACACACAGAAAGAGACACACACACAAGCAGACACACAGAAAGAGACACACACATACAAGCAGACACACAGAAAGAGACACACACACACATACAAGCAGACACACAGAAAGAGACACACACACAAGCAGACAGGCAGACACACAGAAAGAGACACACACACAAGCAGACAGGCAGACACACAGAAAGAGACACACACACAAGCAGACAGGCAGACACACAGAAAGAGACACACACACAAGCAGACAGGCAGACACACAGAAAGAGACACACACACAAGCAGACAGGCAGACACACAGAAAGAGACACACGCACACACAAGCAGACAGGCAGACACACAGAAAGAGACACACACACAAGCAGACAGGCAGACACACAGAAAGAGACACACACACACACACACAAGCAGACAGGCAGACACACAGAAAGAGACACACACACATACAGGCAGACACACAGAAAGAGACACACACACAAGCAGACAGGCAGACACACAGAAAGAGACACACACACAAGCAGACAGGCAGACACACAGACAATGTTAATACACAATAAGTACACATAAAAGACACATTTCAGTAAAGTGGCAGTTGCATAAAATTGCAAAAACCAAATCTTCTTCTCTCTGATCCAAACTTCTGACTGTCCTGAACCTGCTCCAGTTACGGTCCACCCAGGGCTGGACTGGGACAAAAAAACGGCCCGGGCATTTTTTCCTTTTTAGCGGCCCAGGCAACTCAAAAGGTTCAAGGAGCCATATTTGACAAAAAAAAAAGACAGCGTTGTATAAGGCTTATATGAAGGTAACAGGGTCTGAAGCTGTATTAGCTACATTAGCTACATTAGCTACCTTAGCTACATTAGCTATATTAGCTATATTAGCTATATTAGACTAATATCTAAATGACAAAGTAAAGGCTACAAACACATAAAAACCATTCATGATTATCAAATGTGTATTTTCATTGCAGCGTGTCTTGGAGAGAATGACGCACCACGTGACAACTCTGCTTTAAGTTTAACTTTTTTTGCCTTCATGCAATTGTACAAATACAGTAAATACATCTGCTTTTTGGCTCAGTTCACCTGCATCACTGTCTGTTCATATCCATCACATCACAGGCTGAAGTTTGCTGGAGCTGAATGTCCTTAATGGCCTTTTCTTTCACCGTCTCTGTGGAGGTTTTTGAAGTCTGAAAATAGGTGCTCTGACTTTATGATGAATGAATCTTTCAGTGAACGGTGTTTAAAGCTTCATTGTTCATTATTGTTTTCATTACATCGCAAACATGAAGCAGTCCTTCCTCATTGACTGAAAGCAAAAGTTCATTCTCATTCTTAGTCCAGTCTTATCGACTCTTTCTCTCTGTATCTTTGGGATCCATGCGCACAGTCTATAATGCACACACGCCGGTTTGTTTACAGCAGCAGCCGCCTGGCACGGGCCGCGTCACAGGATATGACGCACTACGTACAGAAATGCTAAAATTTAATATTACTTATACAAGTTTTTGCAGCATTGAAAAACGTTAAGAATGTTTTTCCTCCTACAGAAACCACATTGAAAATATAGCCCTCACACTCCATTTTCAGACATTTTTGAAAAGGCTCCAGGAGCCACTTTAGGGGCACTAAAGGTTGACCCCTGGTTTATACAGTATGTGGAAGCAAATACTGTAGAGGATCAGGATGTCTGCAGTTTCAACAATAAAATAAAGTACAATAGTCTACATTAAACAGAGTAATAAACATGTCTCAGAGTGAGGGAGGTGGGCACAGACAATACTATTGTTTGTTACAGGGATGAGAATTGGTCAAAAATATCTGAAATGCATATTGTCAGCCATTAGCTGGCTCTAAATCTGTTTAATCTGTTCACAACATTTTACTTTTGGGCTCAAACATGAACTTTTAATGCAATGGAAAATTTAGGTACCCGAGCTTTAATTTAGAGGAGAGGGGAGACGCGGACTGTTTTCTGCAGCGGTGTATTTATTGGGTGCACAAATTACGAAAAGACATGCATGGTCCTGTGCGCGTTTATGGTCTTGGGTACATGGTCACGTTGCGGCTACGCGCTCACAGTGTTGTGTTGTGAGCGGTTCCTGCGTCCAGCTCAGAGCCGCTGGATGCGGGAACACTGCGGCCGCTGAGGTGGTGGAATCCCGTTCGAGTACATACAGCAGGTGCTCCGCGGACACGCGCGCTCCCCACAGACATTTCTCAACGGATTTACACTTTTCACAAACATGTTTTTTTGTATGAGGCAGACAGACCGGCCCAAATATGGGCATCGGCCCTTCGGGCATTGCCCGGTACGCCCGATGGCCAGTCCAGCCCTGGGTCCACCTCAGAGCCTCAGATACAGCCGGACTGATCGCACACTCACGATCTTACAGTCTTTGTGAATGTGTGTTTGCAGCATCCTGGGAATGCACATCTTCGGCTGCAAGTTCAGTCTGAAGACCGAGACCGGAGACACTGTTCCCGACCGCAAAAACTTTGACTCTCTGCTGTGGGCCATCGTCACTGTGTTCCAGGTAAACACCACACAGACATTATATCACTGTAGAGTCTGGTGTGTGTGGGAGGGGCCGATGGCACAGACCGGTTGCCTCGCTTCTGTCAGTGTGCCCCAGGGCAGCTGTGGCTAAAGTAGTAGTTTATCACCACTGAGTATGGAGTGAATTGTGAAGTGTCTTTGAGAGTCCAAAAAGCGATGTATAAACCGAGTGGAAAAATAGTGCCCGGGGAGTTTGACTCGCCCACACTCATCCACAAAGCTTTCTGATTGGGCGAAAAAAAAATTAAAATCTCTCCATTGGTCAAACTATTCTCCACCAAGAAATCTTACTGGTCAACGTTTTGTCAAGAAAAGAGTACATTTGAAATACATGACATTTGAAAATTACGTGATATTTATAATGGCTTAGGGTCAAATGGTCAAAAATAGACATACATTTTAAAACATAGAAACACATTTGTAGTTACGGACATCCCCTTTAAACGACGGTGTGGTTTGTCTCAGATCCTGACGCAGGAGGACTGGAACGTGGTCCTGTACAACGGCATGGCGGCCACCTCTCCTCTCGCCGCTCTCTACTTCGTGGCTCTGATGACGTTTGGGAACTACGTGCTCTTCAATCTGCTGGTGGCCATTCTGGTGGAGGGATTCCAAGCTGAGGTGAGCGCCCGTTAGTTCAAGTTCAACCTCTAACCAAGAGATATGATGCATTATTTATGAGCTGGTTAATGATAATGACACTCTTTTTTTTTTTTTTTTTTTTTTTTTTATAATGACACTCTTTACTTTGTCCTTTTATGTTTAAAAATGAGAAATAATATCTAAATGTAGAAATGAAATAGTGAAACTGGTATGAAGGGTAAGAAATTCTGTATGCCTGTAACTCCCTATGCTGCCACCAGAGGGAGTAGTTTGCATTGAGGCTGCAGATCCAGGACTGAGGCTGCAGATCCAGGACTGAGGCTGTAGATCCAGGACTGAGGCTGTAGATCCAGGACTGAGACAGTAGACCCAGGGCTGAGACTGTAGACCCAGGACTGAGACAGTAGACCCAGGACTGAGACAGTAGACCCAGGACTGAGACTGTAGACCCAGGACTCAGACTGTAGACCCAGGACTGGGACTGTAGATCCAGGACTGAGACTGTAGATCCAGGACTGAGACTGTAGACCCAGGACTGGGACTGTAGATCCAGGACTGGGACTGTAGATCCAGGACTGAGGCTGTAGATCCAGGACTGAGGCTGTAGATCCCGGACTGAGGCTGTAGATCCAGGACTGGGACTGCAGATCCAGGACTGAGACTGTAGAGCCAGGACTGGGACTGTAGATCCAGGACTGGGACTTTAGATCTAGGACTGAGACAGTAGACCCAGGACTGAGACTGTAGATCCAAGACTGAGACTGTAGATCCAGGACTGGGACTGTAGACCCAGGACAGAGGAGGCTTCCAGGCGGGGGAGAAATTGTCAAAACCAATTCATGGGCAATATTTTTTTTTTTTTTTTTGTGTGAGAAGAAAAATCCCCTTGGGGCAATTATGGCAAGTTTATTTGTAATACACACAATCAAAACAGATCAACAAAACAAGTGATAAATACATAAATATATATATCATGGTATATTCTTTCCGTACAGACGCCAAAAATACAGCTTCTTCTCGCTCCCACTTGAATCCAAAAATAAAGTGAGGATTGTGTATTGAGCGACTGCTGGAAATATCTTTGGTGTGAATCGATAAAGTAATTACTGTGTGGTTTATTGCGGCGTGTGCTGGAGATGTGCTGCTTATCATGAATCTATTTGAGAAGTAATAATATCTGCTCCCGTGACATTAGCCCATAAAGTACCAAGACACCAAGATTCCCGTCTCGGAGCAGATCCACAGGAAAGAGAGTGGATATTTTACTAGTTCAATGTGTAAAAGTGTAGCTGTCACGAAGGCAGAACGAAAGGAGAAGTCCCTGTGCTCCTCAGAGTCCCAGCCAGAGGCCAGTCCCTGTGCTAGACCCAGGACTGAGGCTGTAGACCCAGGACTGAGGCTGTAGATCCAGGACTGAGGCTGTAGACCCAGGACTGAGGCTGTAGACCCAGGACTGAGGCTGTAGACCCAGGACTGAGGCTGTAGACCCAGGACTGAGGCTGTAGACCCAGGACTGAGGCTGTAGATCCAGGACTGAGGCTGTGTAGATCCAGGACTGAGGCTGTAGATCCAGGACTGAGGCTGTAGACCCAGGACTGAGGCTGTAGATCCAGGACTGAGGCTGTAGACCCAGGACTGAGGCTGTAGATCCAGGACTGAGGCTGTAGATTCAGGACTGAGACTATGATCCAGGACTGAGGCTGTAGATCCAGGACTGAGGCTGTAGATCCAGGACTGTATTCAACAAAAAGGTGCTCCTAAACTAATATGTCCCTCTCCTGGCCCTCGGCTGATTTTCTCTCGTCTCTTCCCAAGCCAGAGCATTATGTTCAGGGAGCAGGGGGCGTGTCGTATCAGGGAGGTCCTGTGCCCAGGGTCCGATGACGTCACAGGTCTGAAACTGGTCTCTGGTCTGAGACTGGTCTGGTCTCTGCTTAAGCAAACAATGCCCCCACCCGTGCGGCGCCTGTGTAAACGCAGCTGCTGCGGGAGGGGGCTGCGGGGGATCCATAGGTCAAATTTGCCACACATGTGTTTATTCTGGGAGTCAATAATTGTCTGGCTTTTGTAAGCTGGTCCTCCTTTATGATTCTCGTACTTCTTGTGTCCTTGGGGTTTTTCCTGAGTGCACAGAGGTCTTTTTTTGGCTATGATGTTCAAATGGTCAAATATTGTCACATCTGAATAGTGTAGATTTAAAATATATACAACAAGACCAAGAGACCAAGAGACCAAGAGACCAAGAGACCAAGAGACCAAGAGACCAAGAGACCAAGAGACCAAGAGACCAAGAGACCAGAGATCAAGAGACCAAGAGACCAAGAGACCAAGAGACCAAGAGACCAAGAGACCAAGAGACCAAGAGACCAAGAGACCAGAGATCAAGAGACCAAGAGACCAAGAGACCAGGACCAGAGATCAAGAGACCAAGAGACCAAGAGACCAAGAGACCAAGAGACCAAGAGACCAAGAGACCAAGAGACCAAGAGACCAAGAGACCAAGAGACCAAGAGACCAAGAGACCAGGACCAGAGATCAAGAGACCAAGAGACCAAGAGACCAAGAGACCAGGACCAGAGATCAAGAGACCAAGAGACCAAAAGACCAAGAGACCAAGAGACCAGGACCAGAGATCAAGAGACCAAGAGACCAAGAGACCAAGAGACCAAGAGACCAAGAGACCAAGAGACCAAGAGACCAAGAGACCAAGAGACCAAGAGACCAAGAGACCAGGACCAGAGATCAAGAGACCAAGAGACCAGAGACCAAGAGACCAAGAGACCAAGAGACCAAAAGACCAAGAGACCAAGAGACCAAGAGACCAAGAGACCAAGAGACCAGGACCAGAGATCAAGAGACCAAGAGATCAAGAGATCAAGAGACCAAGAGATCAAGAGATCAAGAGACCAAGAGACCAAGAGACCAAGAGACCAAGAGACCAAGAGACCAGGACCAGAGATCAAGAGACCAAGAGACCAAGAGACCAAGAGACCAAGAGACCAAGAGACCAAGAGACCAAGAGACCAAGAGACCAAGAGACCAAGAGACCAAGAGACCAAGAGACCAAGAGACCAGGACCAGAGATCAAGAGACCAAGAGACCAAGAGACCAAGAGACCAGGACCAGAGATCAAGAGACCAAGAGACCAAGAGACCAAGAGACCAAGAGACCAAGAGACCAAGAGACCAAGAGACCAAGAGACCAAGAGACCAAGAGACCAGGACCAGAGATCAAGAGACCAAGAGACCAAGAGACCAAGAGACCAGGACCAGAGATCAAGAGACCAAGAGACCAAGAGACCAAGAGACCAAGAGACCAAGAGACCAAGAGACCAGGACCAGAGATCAAGAGACCAAGAGACCAAGAGACCAAGAGACCAGGACCAGAGACCAAGAGACCAAGAGACCAAGAGACCAAGAGACCAAGAGACCAAGAGACCAAGAGACCAAGAGACCAAGAGACCAAGAGACCAAGAGACCAGGACCAGAGATCAAGAGACCAAGAGACCAAGAGACCAAGAGACCAAGAGACCAGGACCAGAGATCAAGAGACCAAGAGACCAAGAGACCAAGAGACCAAGAGACCAGGACCAGAGATCAAGAGACCAAGAGACCAAGAGACCAAGAGACCAAGAGACCAAGAGACCAAGAGACCAAGAGACCAAGAGATCAAGAGATCAAGAGACCAAGAGACCAAGAGACCAAGAGACCAAGAGACCAAGAGATCAAGAGACCAGGACCAGAGATCAAGAGACCAAGAGACCAAGAGACCAAGAGACCAAGAGACCAAGAGACCAAGAGACCAAGAGACCAGGACCAGAGATCAAGAGACCAAGAGACCAAGAGACCAAGAGACCAAGAGACCAAGAGACCAGGACCAGAGATCAAGAGACCAAGAGACCAAGAGACCAAGAGACCAAGAGACCAAGAGACCAAGAGACCAAGAGACCAAGAGACCAGGACCAGAGATCAAGAGACCAAGAGACCAAGAGACCAAGAGACCAGGACCAGAGATCAAGAGACCAAGAGACCAAGAGACCAGGACCAGAGACCAGGACCAGAGATCAAGAGACCAGGACCAGAGATCAAGAGACAAGAGACAAGAGACCAAGAGACCAAGAGACCAAGAGACCAAGAGACCAAGAGACCAAGAGACCAAGAGACCAAGAGACCAAGAGACCAGGACCAGAGATCAAGAGACCAAGAGACCAAGAGACCAAGAGACCAGGACCAGAGACCAAGAGACCAGGACCAGAGACCAAGAGACCAAGAGACCAAGAGACCAAGAGACCAAGAGACCAAGAGACCAAGAGACCAAGAGACCAAGAGACCAAGAGACCAAGAGACCAGGAGACCAGAGACCAGGAGACCAGAGACCAGAGACCAAGAGACCCAGAGACCAAGAGACCAGGACCAGAGACCAAGAGACCAAGAGACCAAGAGACCAAGAGACCAAGAGACCAAGAGACCAAGAGACCAAGAGACCAAGAGACCAGGACCAGAGATCAAGAGACCAGGACCAGAGATCAAGAGACCAAGAGACCAAGAGACCAAGAGACCAAGAGACCAAGAGACCAAGAGACCAGAGACCAAGAGACCAAGAGACCAAGAGACCAAGAGACCAAGAGACCAAGAGACCAAGAGACCAAGAGACCAAGAGACCAAGAGACCAAGAGACCAGGACCAGAGATCAAGAGACCAAGAGACCAAGAGACCAAGAGACCAAGAGACCAAGAGACCAAGAGACCAGGACCAGAGACCAAGAGACCAAGAGACCAAGAGACCAAGAGACCAGGACCAGAGACCAAGAGACCAAGAGACCAAGAGACCAGGACCAGAGACCAAGAGACCAAGAGACCAAGAGACCAGGACCAGAGATCAAGAGATCAAGAGACCAAGAGACCAAGAGACCAAGAGACCAAGAGACCAAGAGACCAAGAGACCAAGAGACCAAGAGACCAAGAGACCAAGAGACCAAGACCAGAGATCAAGAGACCAAGAGACCAAGAGACCAAGAGACCAAGAGACCAAGAG